CCTAAATCTTCTAAATATAAATAATAATTATAAAAAATTAAAAAAAAAACTGAAATAAACCACCCCCGCCAACCCCCCAAACCAAAACCCAATAACCCCAACCCCTCCCCCCAAAACCAGAAACCCAGAAACAACCCCCACCCGCCCGCGACCCTCCTTGCGCACCTCCCCAACCCGTGACCCTCTCTCCCTCTGCACCCACCTTCGCACCCACCCTCTTCCCTTCTCTACACACCCCGCACTCCTTAAATCCACACCCATTCCACGAACCGGGCAATGGCAAGATGGGATCTTGGGTTCTTTTTTTTGTTTTTTTTTTCTGCGATGCAAGGAAGAAGATGAAGATGGGGGGAGATGGGTTTGGGGGTTGCGGGGAGAATAGAGGAGGATGAAGGGGGGGGGTAAGGTTTTAGGGTTTATTTTTATTTTTATTTTTTTTATGGGTTGCAGGGAAGAAGATGAAGATGGGGGAGATGGGTTTGGGGGTTGTGGGGAGAAGAGAGGAGGATGAAGGGGATAAGGTTTTAGTGGGTTTTTTTTTTTTTTTTGTGGGTTGCAAGGAAGAAGATGAAGATGGGGGAGATGGATTTGGGGGTTGCGGGGAGATGAGAGGAGGATGAGGGGGATAAGGTTTCTGTTTTTTTTTTTAATTATTATTTATATTTAGAAGATTTAGGTATTTTTAAAAAAAAAATTAAAAAATGATAAATTACATTTTCATACCTCAGGTTTGGGGCCTATTTCAATTCCTTACAACATCTTCAAAACATTTCACTTTCATACCTTAAGTACTATTTTATTTCAAAAAAGGAATGCGCTGCAACCCAGAAGAAGAAGAAGGAAGAAGAAGAAGAAGAAGAAAAAAAAAAAATAAGGGACCGAACCCCCTGCAACCCAGAAGAAGAAGAAGGAGGAGGAGGAAAGAAGAAGAAGAAAAAAAAAAAAAAAAAAAAAAAAAAAAAAAAAAAAAAGGGACCGAACCCCCTGCAACTCAGAAGAAGAAGAAGAAGAAGAAGGAAAAAAAAAAGAGGGACCGAACCCCCTGCAACCTAGAAGGAGGAAGAAGAAGAAGAGAATGAGAATGAGAAGGAGGAAAAAAAAGAAAAAAAAAGAAAAAAAAAAGGGAACCCGAACCCCTAAAAAAAAAAAGAAGAAAAAAAAAAAGGGAACTCCCTGCAACCCAGAAGAAGAAGGAAGAAGAAGAAGGAAGAAGAAGAAAAAAAAATTCAGGTTTAAAAAAAAATTATTTTATTTGCCACGTGGCAAACATTTGGTAACCACGTGGCATATATGTGGCAGCCACGTCAGCATTTAACAGATCCATGGATAGAAAATGTAACAGATGTATTATTTTGAAATAAAATAGTACTTAAGGTATGAAAGTGAAATGTTCTGAAGAAGTTGTAAGGAATTGAAATAAGCCCCAAACCTGAGGTATGAAAATGTAATTTATCCATTAAAAAATTATTTTTTTGCCACGTGGCAGACATTTTGCAGCCATGTGTCATATATGTGGCAGCCACGTCAGCATTTAACGAATCAATGGATGGAAAATGTAACGAAGTTATTATTTTGAAATAAAATAGTACTTAAGGTATGAAAGTGAAATGTTTTGAAGATGTTGTAAAGAATTGAAATAGAGCTCAAACCTGAGGTATGAAAGTGTAATTTAACCAAAAAAAAAAAATGTTATGCTTTAAGAACAATCAGCTGTAAAGTAAAGTAGCTAAGCATTTGGTAAACTGTACTTTTAAAACTGTTGTGAGCATAAAAAGCAATATAAAATCCTTTAGTGAATATTAATATAAAAGTGTTGTATCTTTGCATAAGGCTTTTTAGCCAAAATGGTCATTGAGATTTGCATAACATATCACTGATCCCTGAGATTGAAAATCAATAGAAATGGTCTTTAAGATTGTCCACCATCTATTATTGTGGTCGTTCCGTTAAAAAATCTGTGAAGTGTCCCAGAGCTCTTGGCCGGAAGTTTGGGTAATTTTCAAAGCTTCATAACTCAATTGTTTCTTAACCAAATTCAACTCATAATATATCAAAATGAAGATAGGAAAGTGTAGAACAAGATTATACCTATTTGGAAGCACAATGGTTGCTGGATATGGCTGAAAAATAACTTGAAAGGTGAATGGTTCGAGAGAAAACTGGAAAACTCGCCTGAAACTGAGTAAACTTTAAACGTTCATAACTTCTTCAATACTCAACGAAATCGAGTGATTTAAAAACAAAAATCATACTTCCCAATCAGGCAAACAGAATGGTACCCTGCCGGAAACTGAGTAAACTTTAAACGTTCATAACTTCTTTAATACTCAACGAAATTGAGTGATTTAAAAACAAAAATCATACTACCCAACAAGGCAAACAGAATGGTACCCTTTTTTTTTTTTATGGCTAATTCACCGTGGTCTGGACGGAAAACAGCTCGAAAGTGGCTAACTTGAGACTAAGATAGTCACTTCCAAGCCGTTTTCGGCCAAACCACAGAGCTTTAGCCATCAAGAAATGTACCATTCTCTTTGTCTCATCGAGAAGTATGATTTTTGTTTTTGAATCACTCGATTTCATTGAGTATTGAAGAAGTTATGAACGTTTAAAAGTTACCCAGTTTCCTGTGAGTTTTCCAATTTTCCTGCGGACCAGTCACCTTTCAATATATTTTCCGACCATCTCCAGAAACCATTGGGCTTCCAAATATGTATAATATTGTTCTATACTTTCCTATCTTCATTTTGATATATTATGGGGCGAATTTGGTTAAGAAACGATTGAGTTACGAAGTTTTAAAAATTGCCCAAACTTTCGGCCAAATGATCCGGGACACTTAACAGAGATTTTAACGGAATGACCAAAATAAGGAATGGTGGACAATCTCATATACTATTTCTATTGATTTTCAATCTTAGTGACCAAAGTGATATGTTATGCAAATCTCATGGACTATTTTAGCTAAAAAACTCTTTGTATAATGACAAAAATAGACATGACGTCAAAAGTATCTAATCTTTTTCCTTCAGATTATCTTAACATATGTAGTTTGCATTGTCATTTTTTATATTAAATAAAAACAACTATAAACAACTATAATGGTAAAATGTATTCTTAACTTATTTAGTGTCCACTACATCAATCATTCGGTCAATTTGTTGTGACAACTTAACAGCACCTCCCACTTTTCCTTCTTTGTAACAACCAAGGTATAAAATATCAATGATATTGGAAATATCGGTAATCCAAAAACACGAAAATTTCGATGAAAATATCGGGATATTATCGATATCGATAAAAATTGAATAAAAACCACGGAATTGTAAGAAAAACTTGGAAATTTTTATTGAAACTTTGCAGGATGTTTATTTAGTCAATTATCTATTAGTTTATCACAAAAAATGGAATGAAATGCATTGCATGATAGATATAATTGATTTAAGTTGATTATATATCGAGATGGCAAACATTGTGAGTGTAGAAAATATGTAGTAATTAATGAAAGAAGTTTAAATATACCATAATCATTTATATATAATGAATTAGTACAATATTTCACACTTTATAAATTGCATGGTAAGATACATGAGTGACTTAGCAATGTCTAAAATATCGATAATATCGGAAATATCGGTAGTCTAAAAAAATATCGGTAGTCCAAAAATACGGAAATTTCGATAGAAATATCGGGATATTATAGATATTTTAAACCATGTCAACAACTCCTTTTTCCTGATCTTCTTTCTTAATTTGTGTATCGAATTGTTGAATTCTTTTTTTCTTCTTCCCCAAATTATTTCATTAACTTGAGTGTTTTTGAGTGGGACAACACATCAGAATCATTGCTTTTGATTTGAATGTTGTCACTCTCTTCAGATTCATCATTATTTTCAGATAGAAGTACACCAGACAAAAGGGTGCCCAAGCATGGAATGAGATTCTCTACTCTCTTAATCTCTTTATCCTTAAATTCTTTCCTATTTGAACGGTCAATATTAAGTCACATCAACATTTTATATTAATTTTTTTATAGAGATAATAAAACAAAAAGTAATATGTGAGAGAAGAGGATGGAAGGGGATGAGAATAGGAGGATAGAAAATCCTCCTCCCAAGCATGATCGCTTGTAGGATACCAACAAGAAAAATGAACTCTTTAGTAAGAGAAATGAATGTGAGTCCTGTGTAAAAGTTCACGGATTAGACTAGGGTTTTTTTGTACATATAATAGCGTGTAAAAAATAAGGGGTAGATGAAGTCATTTGGAAAAATAAAAGGGGCATTGTAGGTAGAGAAATTTTCATCAATCCTTCTGTGTTTTATTATTTTGGTTTTTTTTTTTTAGTCGCCTTGAAAAGCAACATAATGGTAGCTTCTAAAAGCAGCCCTGTGAAGGCCCAAACTTTAAAATTAAGGAGGTCTATAAATATTTACCAAACAAATTTTAGCTACTTCTTTTTAAAGCGAAGCACTTTTTTGAGAAAAAAAAAAAACAAAGCAAATCCCAAACGGAGCCTTAATCTTTCATGAAGGACAACTCTATGAGGACATTTTGATCCGTCGTATACCAGCAGAACGAGTACCATTGCCAACTAATACCAGTGCCTCCGTCCATGGATATCAAACCTTCTTGTGCTTCAAGTTTTAATGGGGTTTTTGTAACTGTGAAGTATCAATCCCAGCCATTTCTTCTGAGTTCACGCATGACAACACATCTTATAGTTTAGCTAGTGGAATTCACAATCAGTTTACCAATATACTAAAGAACCATGACATCTTCCTATTTGGGGAATTTTAAATTCATTAGTGGAAAATAATTTTAGTGGTCTCCTCTATTTGAGGAGATTCTAGCTAACATGTAATTGCAAGATACACTGACAGATTAAAGATATATCGTTGTTAGTATCTCTCTCATTAAGCGTCCCAGTGATAAGAAACATTTTTTTGTACCAATGAAATGAATAATAGTCATCACAATTAACACTTTAAACAAGGAACTGAAACAAAAAAAATGTTTATTTAGTTAAATATAACTTTTCTTTTTATTAAGTGGACTTAACTACATTAGTTAGAGAGGATGTGCTCCAATGAGTATCCAAGAGGATGTGTTCATTTGAGTATTCTGAGTCCTTGCAATTTAGATTAGTTTTCTCTGAACTTCTACATAATGATATAACACAACTTTTCTTAAGTCAACGGTTCTTTAAGATCTCACCGCGAAAAAAAAAACTAGCATGCCTCCATGATCATGTTTCTGCTTTAGTAACAGGATTGACTACTGAAATTTCACTCATGTAAATCTCAACCACCTTATTATCGTCGACCGTCACCTTTTCAATCTCTGTATGTTCGCCAACAAGACCGTCTTTCCTCTTTCCCCACAGCACACAGTAAAGTCCCACAATAATAAGAAGTGCTCCAATCAAGCTGTACACAAAAAAGTTTGGATATTTTAGGATGAACTAATCTGCTAGCACCGACTACGGAATTCCCATATGTGAAAGCAGCAAGATGGAAGGGGGAGAAAGTGTTTGTGTTCTTCGGTTTACCTGCCAAAGTGAAGCCGCTCTGCAAAAGCAATTGCCGAAAACACTGCCACTAGGACGACTGGAAGTGGAGTGAACATAGCTGCAAAAACTGGTCCCTTGTGACTGATGCACCATGCTTGCAGGTAATAGACTAATGCTGTGTTCAGAACTCCCTATTGCAAAAGGATCAGATGAAGACTCAAAATTTTTACAGATTCAAATATATCTTATCCCAACAACATGGAAGAACAAAATTAAATTAATGAGTTATATTTTAAGACACAGAAAATTATTCTCACAACAGCAATACAGCATTCTGTTATTTTCGCATTTTATGTTGTTGAACATATCTTATAGAAGAATTAAGATATATATAAGAAAACGCTTACGAAGTAGACGATGGTCAAAAGCTGCACGTTCCACTCCAGTCTCCATGAACTGGGGTTTCTAGCCAAAAACAGGGCAAGGAAAGAAGATTGCAGCGATGCGAAAAAGCACATTATGGTGGTTAGTGACAGTGGAGCAGGGTAGACTTTGGACACCACACCCTGTGGAGCAAGAAAAGCCAAAGTTGATGAAAAAACTAAATTTCGACATTATCTATTATATAAATGGGAGAAGGCAAATTTGGTGAAACGTTCATAATACCAAAAATACTCCTCACCTCTTACAACCTTTTTGTTTTGAATTTAAAATCATAAACTGTACATTAAGTATTCTTTTTCAAATCAAATTAAAATATCCAAAAAATAGGTTGTGATAAGAGGCGCTAGTATTTGTATAAACGGAGCCATCTTGAAACAAGTTTCTAATCACCTGGAGGATTAGCCACGCACTCCACGCACTGTGGCTAATCAGAATAAGAGCAGAACCCTTGATCCAGTTTTCGTGAACACGCTTGGTCTTGCTAATATACTTCTCGGCGTCGTAAACATTTATCAGTGGCTTTTCGACACCTTTCAACAGGTGTCCTCCTTTCCAGAATGTGAAAATAAGAGAACCGCATATGCAGAAAACTGTACCAGCCACCTTCGCTTGGCCTCGAGCGCTTCTAATCTTCAATTTCTCCATCCTGAATAAAAGTAACCAAATTACAGGACATGGAACCTTAGAAGAAATCGAAGGAAAGGCATAGAATATACCTGAGAAGAACTGCCATCAGAAACGTCAAAGCGGGGACAACATTACCCAAGGCAGTTCCAACTGTTGCAGTAGTGTATGCTAAACCAGCACAGTATACATTCATAAAGATGGTAGGCCCTAACAAGGCGAGCAGGAAAATATTTGCAGCTACCGAAAATGAGAGTGAAGGCCTCTGCTTCCTGCTCAGCACATCCACTACCAAATTAGTTTTCACTGTTTCTTGTACAAGAAGAAAATCTGAAAGCGGCAAGAATGCTTACCTTTCAAGCACATAAGCAAATGGTCAAAACCATGCCAAGAACATGCCTGTAAACGACGAAGACAATCTGATTGAGTCCATCCTGGAGGGATAATTTTATGAGGATGTATGATCCGGCGTAGATCAGCTGAACCAGTACCATTGCCAAGTAATGAGTGCATCCTTCCATGGATATCAAACTTTTCTTGTACTAATTTGAAATGCGGATTTTATGCTTCAAGTTTTAATGTGGTTTTTATAACTGTGAAGGATCAACCTCAGCCATTTCTTTTGAGTTAATGCATTAGCTAGTGGAAGCTACAATCAAATTAGCATCTTCCTTGGATGGTGGAAGTATAATGATAAACTTTTGGGGCTTTTAACTTTTGTTAGTGGAGATTACTTTTGTGGTGCGTTTACGTAAGACGATAAAAGGAATTGGATTGATGATGAATTGGAATGAGGAGCAGTCATAATCAAATTCATGTTGAAGTTGTTTTTTTAAATGTTCTGGAATCGGAATAGAAGTGACACTGATTCTATAAAGCTGTTTACTAATTCATCAGAATCAGATTATAAACTAGTATGATCAATAAAATACCCTTGTTCCAATTCAAAATATTTTATATACTTTTCTTAATAAAAAAATATTTAATAGTAACGAAACTTAAATTGCTTTTTTATTTCATAGATGTAATACCTTGATTATTTTTAAATATGTGATTTAGTTATGAAATTCGAATTAATTGATGATTACGAAATTTAAATGGGAGGAATGTGAAATCGTGTTCCTAGATTTTATTAGTAAATATTTGGTAGTCGTATTTGGAGTTACGACACATTTATATTTACGACAAATAATTTTTCGATATGTGGAAAAGACGAAAATGCCCCTAGTTAGCTAAATCAAAATTATACGATGACGTATTTTATCCTTATATGCTTCGTTGTATTTCTTGGCATATTTGGATAGAGCTCAGTCCAACAAGCGTGTAGGCAAAAACCATCTATGAAACGCAATTATAATGGAGGAGACACGAGCAAATGTAAGGGCAAAATGATCATTTGACCATTAATCTAGAAGGCTCCAGCTTTGCTGGAGCAGTGATTTGGGTGCCACATGTGTGGCTAGGATGGAGAAAGAAGAGGAGAAAGGAGGGAAAGGAAGGGGTGGCTGCCTAATGAGAGGGGAAAGAAAGGAGGGAAATGAGAGATAGGGGGAAGCACTGGATCCCATTTTACCTGCGCGACCCAATTTCCTGACCCAGTTCTTGCACACACCTTCCGGCATTTTTCTGGTAAAATTTGTCGAACCACCACCTAGAACCAACTCCACGACCCTCCCTCCCTCATTTCCACTCAAACCCGACGAGTTTTGGCTCCCGTTTTGCAAAGAATGGCATCGAAGACGCCAAAGGTTCCCTAACGGCAATCCGCCATTCCTGAAGCCAATCTCATTGATCACCACCACCAATAGACTCCTCTCAACCTCAAGAATAATGCCCATGAATTGGTTGAGGCATTGGAGTTTGTTTTGGCATTGAATCAAGAACACCCATTTCTAGGGTTTCTGATGAATCCAGGGCAATTTTAGGTGTTTCCCGACTAAATTGGACTTCGGTCCAGGTATAAAAAAAATGCTTCTCTCATTGAGATATACATGTTTGTAAATTTGGTAGTTTTTAGATGTAGTCAGAAAATTAGGTTTTTGTTCGCCGAAAACCGCTGTTATACGTGCATGGCCAGTGGGCCAATTTTGCCCTTTTAAGTTAATTTCGATATTTTGATGTTATATTTGATATTCGTTTGATGTGATTCAATCATTTGAATCTAGTATTGAATGTATCCGCCACTTGAATATTATTAGTAAACAAATTAAATGTGACAGCGAATTACAAATGTCTTGATCCCGTTTGGTACGTAGGCAGTCTAACAAGGAGGTTAGATGCAACCATAAAATAACCAAAATTAAATTTTAGTGAATGATTGTTAAGAAAAGAAATTTATTTTTGTTAATAGCGTAAAGATTAACCATGACTTATTTTTGGCCTACCACTGTGGTTAGCTTCCGAATTAAATTTTGGGTCACTACAATAGACACACTACTCTGACCAAAAAAAAAAATTTCATAGACACTCTGAAATGTTTTTGTTTATTTTTTATAAATTTACGTTAATATTTAAACTTTGTTGCTCAAGTTATAGTTTCTTCTCTTCGGCATATGCATCAAGTTGTGCATAATGTGAATGAGCATGGAGTTGTGCATAAGTGAATGAGCTAGAAGGACGTGGAAAGAAATTGTTTTGAGCATTTTCAATTTTAACTCTTCAAGGATATATTTAGTTACATAATGTGAATGAGGTAGAAGGAATGATTTTTACCATTTCAAATCCGAAAAACTAATTCCCCTTGAACTAAAAGAGATCTTCACAAAGTGGATTTTGTATAAAAGTAAATAAATAAAGAAAAAAAATATTAAGAACAAGAAAAAAGTAGAAAACTACAAATAACTTCATTAAAGTCAATATTTTACATCAAAGTACTTATGCCTAACCATCATAACCAACCTAAACAAAATAGTCATAAGCTACCTAAGCATCATACTATCAACAAAATATTCATAACCTACCTAAACATCATAATATTAAAACGTAGTTCTTGACTATCATGGTGTCATCAGTCATTAGATTAACGAAACATTCACAATCTTCTCAAATATGTCATCATGGTAGCAAATAGGTCATAGCAAAAAACTGGCATTCACATTTGTGAGCATAAACAATTGATTTACGAATATTTGATTAAGAAACATTTGTGAGCATAAAGAATTGGGGATAAAGTATCACTCTTCCTAAACAATACAACATTAAAATGAAAAATAAATATATAAAAAATAAAAGCTCAACCCACTAGACATTATTAGGGATGTGGGCAAAAGGGATGAGGTTGGAGCTTATAATCTAAAAGGGGCTGAGGTAATTGGTTCTTTATACTCAAATCCGACATCGTGAAAGGCAATGCAAAGGGGTTAGGGTTGGAGCTTATCAGGGATGCGGGAAAATTGGACCGAGGTTGGAGCTTATCAGTGAAAGTATACATCACGAAAGTTGGGATCTTATGAGGGATGACGGAGGATGGAGCTGTCGGCTGGGTTTTACCGAAAGCAAAAAATCTTTTTCGACAATGAAACCAGTTACTCCATCATGAACCCCTTTCCACGATGAATTCAAAACTAAAAATCCTACACAGAGATAAAAAAGCAGAAGACGAAGGGATTTACATGTCTGTAATTTTGATGAGAGTTGTGGTTGAGAGAAAGGAAGCTGTGGTGAAAGAGAAATGAGACAATCTAGGGTTAAATGGGTTAATATAAAGGATAGTCTTGGAAATTAAAAAATAAGTGAGGCAATAAAGGGGCCTCCGGATTTGTTGTCCCGAAGATGATGTCTCCTTCATGTTTCCTTCTTTATTTGTTTGATACGTGTACTACCACTAACTCTAATTTAACTCTGTTAACTTTTACTAAATTAAAAAAAATAATAATAATTAGCAGAAGCAACTCCCGGTTTACAGTCCCTCTGCCCACACCCACGCCCACCCCTCCCGCTCCCTTACGCCAGCCCACAACCAAAACCCCTTCCCCTCCCTTTCCCTTAATCGTCGTAGCGTGACCGTTGTGGACTTTGAAACCTGGTACGGACAACGTCAAGGCGGCGCATCGCAGCGATGGAGGTGAGTCCAGCGATGGCACCGGCGACGGCGGTTTCGTACTGACACTACGATGCCGACGAAATTTGTATTTCACGACAGATCTAGAAGATTTCAGTGAGATTGGTGTTTGAAAATTCTAGAGAGATTTGTCACAAACCTCTCGACTCTTCGACCAATATGATTAAAAAAGCTATGTGAATCTTAAGCCAAGTGAGATAGGGGTTTTGGTTGTGGGTTGGTGTAAGGGAGGGGGAGGGGTGGGTGTGGGTGTGGTGGGCAGGGATTGGAAACTGGAGAGCTGCTTCTGCTAATATTTTTCTTTTTTTACTTCATTTTTTTTTTTAATTCAGTAAAAGTTAACAGAGTTAAATTAGAGTTAGTGGTAGTACACGTGTCAAACAAATAAAGAATGAGACATGAAGGAGACATCACTTTCGGGACAACAGATTTAAGGAATCTTAAGCAAAGGTGTCAAGCCCTTTTCGTTAAAACTCCCTAAATTTTAATAAAAAATACATAATTTTAATATTAAAAAATTTAAAATAAAATAAAATCTGACTCGCAAATCCATGGGTCATCACATAAACTGTTTATAAAACTTTCTACATTGTTTATGAGGAAATTTGGTAAACTAGCCATATTTTGTACCACGAAATGGAATTTAGCCTGCCTACTCCAATTCTTATAAATTTAACCAAAAATCCATGTGAAAGTTCTAAAATACCCTTGCATACATAAATCTTTTACAAATAGGTTTTGGCATTTGTCTCCTCCGATTCAGTTGCCTTTTCCTACGCCGTCAGACAGCTTCCTCAAGTCTCTGAATGAGGACTCGGACCCGACAGTCCCACTCTGGAATCTCTTGATGGTCCGACTAATGGTTGCGCTGCAATGTTTTCTCACAGAATTAATCCACTCAACGCTCTAATCAACAAGGACCAGATGGACATGGTAATGGTACTAGGTCGAAATAGTTGCAAATATCAAATAAAGAGCCTAACTTTGCAAGGTCAGAGACTAGAAATTTACTTAAAACTAACCAACCCGGCACGCCAATACGCACAATCCAAACCTATAAGAAAACAAAGAAAGCAAACAAGAAACTCAATACATTACTTATACAAAATTAAGCACAAATATCAAACTTTCAAAGAAAAATAAGCTGTGGGTATTGAATATTACAACAGATTACCCATCTGGGGGCCCTTTCGATATCGAAATCAAATCACTAGCAACTCATTTGAAATCCAATAGTGTAGAACTCAAATTCTCTGTGAAACAAACATGGGTTTATCACTAGCAATTTGATTTTTATATTTACTAAATTATCAAATCAGACCGCAAGTGAAGTGTTAGCAAAATAGAAAATTCTGAGGAAGAAGAAAAGCTCTCCTGACTACGCCGGGTGAAGAAATGACTTTCTCTTCAGAATGTCAGTGAAACCGGAACAAGGCACACAAGAAGTTCCGGCCGTTGAAATCGGTGATTTGCGTGAAGAATCAGTTCAAGAAGAGCCACTGCCCAAAAATGTACTAGTGCAGCCGGGACAACAAAAGGAGCTTCTCGGTGGTGGCGGATTTGAAGAGCCAATTGAAGCACTGCAGCGAGGATAGGTGGTGGGAGTAAGTTTGTGACAGCTATGGAGCAGGATGACGAGGAGAGGAAGAGGAGGACGAGGGCATGGCATGATTGTGAAGGACTTTAGTCATTAAGGGTATATTAGTACTTTTATGTTAATATTTCGTTATAATTATAATAAATTTAAAACAGTGTCTATAATTCTACATGTGTTCCAAATTTTGGTTAGTTTTCCAAATTTCCCTTGTTTATGAAAGTTAACGATATTACACTGTTTATGAAACTTATTACACTGTTTATGAAAATTACAACACTGTTTATGAAACTTACTACACTATTTATGAAAAATACGACATTGTTTATTAAACTTACTACACTGTTTATAAAACTTAATGCGTGTCATTTCCTTCTTTCTGCTCTCCGGAATGTCGCTTCTTCAAAAGCCACAAATCCTTGTCCACGCACACAAAGACCCCAATAGTGTCGAAGATCACATGGGAATAGTAGCCAAGTCCCACCACTTGGAGTGGTTTATTGGTATCCCAAACGGCTTGGGAAGATCTGGTAGTAAGCGGAAGAAACCCGAGGTCATCATCAGGACACTCAAATGTTATAATACCCATTAGAAAATTGGGAACTAGAGAAGCCACAACTATCATAAGGCTCTCTATCATCCGGTCCAAATTTCCCCAGATAATAAGAGTAAGTGCAACCAAGAATGGGAATGAAGAGAGTAAGTTGGAAATGATGAACATCGAAACACCACAATATCCATCCTTGTAGACCACCTGGAATATTTACCATCCTTGTAGTCCTTTCTGTTAAAGAACTAGTCAGGGATATTCAACTGGGGGAGGAGGGGGGGTTTGCCATAATAGTCATCAGATTGTTGAGCTCGGTAGTAGATAGCTCACCAACCCTTTTGTTCATGTCGACATCGCCCTTCTTGTAGACGATGTCGGCGAAATGTCTACAGATACCCTTGATGGAGGTAATCGCGAATCATGATCTTATGCTTTCTATCAACGTTGGTATTCAACACATGCATAATACGCTGCAACTCCTCATCTGCAAATTCTAATAAGAGACATGGCTGCGACCTTAGGGTTTGACGGCTCTTTGCTCTCTCTAACTATTCGTGTGTGTGTGTGAGTTGCTGTAAAAAAAAATGGAAACTGATTGTTTGGGCCATTTTAATTGGATTGATTTAATATTGGGTTTTGTTCTAACCATTAAATAAAGTTAGTATATGGTTTTTTTATTAACATTCAAAGTTTTCAAGCCCCTATCATTAGGGGTGGGTTAGAAAAACCGAAAACCGAAAAAAACCGACAACCGAACCGAATTTGGTTGGTTCAGTTTCGATTTTTGAGGTATGAAAACCGGACCGGACCGAACCGAACCGAAATATGAAAATAAAATATAAATACTCAAAACCTGCTGGAGTGAAGATTCAAACCCTTTTCGTCCAGGTTCGGGATAACTCCTTCGAACCAACTTTACTGTAGGCTTTGTATTGCTATAACTGTACCAGTATATTATTTATAGGTATTCTTATCTTAATGGTTTATAAAATTTATAAAGTTTACAAACCCTAGCCATCACTCCTTTTCATTCTTAAACATACACTCTCTCTCTCATCCGCTGCTCTTCCTCTCTGCTCCCTCAGTCTCTCTTTCCCTCCTTCTTCTCTTCCTCCCTTCAACTCTCCTTGCTCTCTTCCTCTCTCCAACCTGCCAAGTCCATGGTTGTAACATGGATCTTACTTTTTTAAAGGATTACCACAAGAGGCGTAGGGTTTGTGATGAATTTATTTGACAATCCCCATTTTTTCCCTCTCCAAATCTTACGCCTCTTGTCTCTCTGCTCCTCATCTGATAGACTCTCTGTGGACTCTCACCAACAATAACAACAACTTCTTCACTCCTTTCTAATATTCCTTTCTTTCTCCATAAACTTTCGATCTCTGCTTTTCAAATTCAAGCCAAATAGTTTTTTACTCTGGGATTCATATGGAGGTCGCACCAGACATCCATCTTTGTTCCTCCGGATTTCTTTAACAGTAAGTATTCAAATTCTTCTTCTTCTTTTTTCTTTTTCTTGTTTAATTCTTTGAGTGCTGAAAATGTAGTTTTTTTTATGTATTGATTAATAGTTTTTATTTCTTTGGTTTGTTGACTATTCTATGTGAATTTATTTGTTAACTATGCTTTGTGAATTTTTGAAGAAAAATTGGTTGATGTTGTTCTTGGATTTGTCTTTGTGGAGCCCTATGTGGTAAAGATCTTTGGTTTTTGGATCTTTATTTTTATTAAACCCTTGGATCTCGTCTATTTGGCTGTGTTCGGACAGGCGCTCGTGGCCAAATGTTACAATCGGCGAGGCGTCGGTTGGTTGGTGGCGAGGGTTTGTCCTAGAAGGGATGCTCGGCGGCAAGTGCCGCAGTAGAAGCCTAGATTTCTTTTGTTGTATTTTATGGCTTGGGCCTTTACTGTTTGTTGGATCTATTGGGCTAGTTTGGCAGGTCATCTTTTGGGCTAGTTTACTAATATCCAAATCTAAAAAATAATAATAATAATAATAATAATAATAAAACCGAACCGGACCAAAACCAAACCGAAAAAAATCAAAACCGAAAAAAAACGAACCGAAAAAAATTAAAACCGAACCGTTTCTAACCGAACCCAGCCCTACTTATCATTAGTTTTCCTAATATTTAGCTAGTTGAAAACATAATCAGTTTCCCAATATGGCAATAATCAAACCTTACTTTTATGGTGCAACCTAACAGCATCAGGATCATGTTCCAATACCTTAAAAACAAGAATTCGATTTGATTATGGGAGTAGTTCATCCTCTTCCGATTGATTCTCGCTCTTATTCTTGACTTTGCCCATTTTGACCTTGAAACTTCCGAGTAACATTTTCTTTAGAATAATGCTAATAATCACGTTATATAATTTATAAAATATAAATTAAACTGATGATTTTCCAAACATTATCAACTTTTTTAACTTAGTAATTCGGCAGACATCATGCCTTTATTGTTTTCCGTATTTTCTGAATTTCGGTGCCAATAAAGTTAGCATTTTCTGTTTCGGTCTCCAAATTTCATTGATGTCATCCTGCCCTTTACCATAATCAGAGAAATTAGTCAAAATTCCAGCTGTCCTCTTTTTCTTTCCTTTTTCCTGTTCTTTAATTTTTTTTTCTTCCTAATTTCTAATTTATATAAATATCTGCAAAAAATACATTGGGCGCTTTGTATCTATATCCCGATATTTGCTCTACTGTCACAAGATTCCGCCAACTCCGTCAAATGTACTGACCTGAATGTGTTCCTATGTGGCAATTAGAAGACAGTGCAAACATTCTCGGTTGCTTCACTTTGGCTAGATTCTGTTACCTCCGTCAAATGTACTGACGTAGATGAGTTTCCTACGTCGAAATTAGAATATTATTTTTTATGGCTACGTTTTCCCGGTACCAATTTAATTTTTTTTTTTAAAGTAACAATTTAATGAGTACAAGTAAAAATAGAGTAAATTATAGCAATAGTCCTCAACTTTAATCAAATTAGAACAATGGTCTATCAACTAAAAATTCATTACTAATAGCTCTTCAACTCATCAAAGTGTGTAGCTATGGTCCTTTTGGTCAACTTCGTCAGAATTTTGTCAAAATGAGTTATGTTGGAATAACTATTGTTATAATTGGAATACCTCAACTCATCAAAACATGTAGCTATAGTTATTTTCATCAACTTCGTCAGAATTTTGTCAAAATGAGTTATGTTGGAATGACCATTACCACAATTGGGTTAAAGTTAAGGGATCATTGCTCTAATTAGGTTAAAGTTGATAGATCATTTCTCTAATTGAATTAAAGTTGAGAGATCAATGGTAATGGATTTTTAGTTGAGGGACCATAGTTGCACATTCTGATGAATTAGGAGATTAATAGTAATAAATTTTTAATTAAGGAATCATTGCTCTATTTAAGTTAAAATTAGAAGACCATTACTACAATTTTTTTTGTAAAAATAAGCAAAATACATTCTGGAAAGTTCGACAGTCCAGACTTTCCAGAGGTTGGCAGAAATTCCTTCAATTGTCTAATCGTAAAGCAGAATCAAACCGACCTTCATTTTTCCATCATTTCGTCTGGCCGGCCGCCCACCCAATCCTTTTAGCTGTCAGCTCAAATCCTCCTCGACTCCCCGAAGGTATGCGTGCTTCTTAAGCTCTTTGTCTCCCTCCTGCTACCAAGAAACCATTTTTTTCCGTTTCTCTTCAGTATATCTGCTATTTTCCCCTCTTGTGAATCGATTTCCAAGTTTTTGTAAGTTGAATTGTTTCTTTTTTTTTCTGTTCCTGCTTCCGATTTTACTGTTGTGAATTTAATTTGTTTAATCTTGTGTTGGTTGATTGATCTATCATCTCACAAGTTCACTGTGGATTGTTCTGGTGTTTTGTGAATTTGTTGAGTGATTGTTGCTGTTCATGTTAATTAGTCAATGACTGACTGAGACTGTGAGTGGCAAATTCTGACAGATTTTGTAGTGATTCAATCTGATTGGCATCTAAATTTTGATGGCATCAACCCATCACTAGCATTAAGCATGACAAATCTCATATTTTGGTTTAATCTGATCCAAAACCCCTTACTTGTTATCAATTGGTGACAAACATATTGTGTGTGTGTGTGTACTTGAAAGGAAAACCCGAAATGCTTGATACCAGTTTGAAGTGCGTGTAATTGATTCATCTGTGGTATGGGAATAAGAATCAGCCGTGTTATTTCTATATGTGATCGGTGCCTGACAAACCCTTTACAAAATAGTTAGGTAGCCTTCGGTTTTGGATGTAATTCCTGGAAAGAATTAGAAATTATGCTTTATTGCTTTTTGCCTGTTTTGTTGATCTTCCGGTGAAATAGAGTATTACGTTTTATAAGCGGTGGATTTTCACTTTTCACGCGTGTCTTCAATTACCGGTTGCCCAATGTTTAGTACTTAATCCAGGATTGTAATGGCTCACTGATATGACCTTTGTTTTGTTCAACTTGTGGCAATCTCCCATTAATCCATGCTTGTTAGTTAGGTTATAAGGTACACAATCCAACTTACAAGACCAAAACAGAGTTTTCTGATGTAAAAACCAAGAACTGATTCGTTCAATGAAGAAGTTACCATAATTGTATGCATTCTAGTATGTTTCTTAGGTTACTAACGGATTTCCCTGATTCCTCTGCAGCATCACCATAAAGAATGGCAGATACCGAGGACATTCAGCCTCTCGTCTGTGATAATGGTACTGGAATGGTTAAGGTATGGGCTTTGTTTCATTTTGCCTGGTAATGTATGAGAACCCATCTTAACATACATGCTTTCCCTTGGTATATAACGATCGTCATGACTTCCTTCAACAGGCTGGATTTGCCGGAGATGATGCTCCAAGGGCTGTTTTCCCCAGTATTGTTGGTCGTCCTAGACACACAGGTGTTATGGTGGGGATGGGACAGAAAGATGCCTATGTCGGGGATGAGGCCCAGTCGAAAAGAGGTATTCTCACATTAAAATACCCTATTGAACACGGGATTGTTAGCAACTGGGATGACATGGAAAAGATCTGGCATCATACTTTCTACAATGAGCTTCGTGTCTCTCCTGAGGAACATCCTGTGCTCCTTACTGAAGCACCCCTGAATCCTAAGGCCAACAGGGAAAAGATGACTCAGATCATGTTTGAGACCTTCAATGTCCCTGCTATGTATGTTGCCATCCAAGCAGTTCTTTCCCTCTATGCTAGTGGGCGTACTACAGGTTTGTACCAATATGAAAAACCGAGAGTGATTTATCTATTTATTTTGTTATAATTATTTTCCATGTGCAAACAAACAAATAAATTTGGAAGCAAAGTTTACAATCTTGAAAGCTCGTTACTTTTTAACAACAAAACATTTTCCAGGTATTGTGCTGGACTCTGGTGATGGAGTCAGTCACACAGTTCCCATCTACGAGGGTTATGCACTTCCACATGCCATCCTCCGGCTTGACCTTGCTGGACGAGATTTAACAGATTCCTTGATGAAGATCCTGACTGAGAGGGGGTATACTTTTACTACAACTGCTGAACGGGAAATTGTACGCGACATCAAGGAGAAGCTTGCCTATGTGGCACTTGATTATGAACAGGAACTTGAAACTGCTAAAAGCAGCTCATCAATTGAGAAGAGCTACGAACTACCTGATGGTCAGGTGATTACCATTGGAGCAGAGCGTTTCCGTTGCCCTGAGGTCCTATTTCAACCATCATTCGTTGGAATGGAATCGCCTGGAATTCACGAGACCACCTATAACTCTATTATGAAGTGCGATGTTGACATTAGAAAAGACTTGTATGGCAACATTGTCCTCAGCGGAGGGTCCACTATGTTCCCAGGAATTGCTGATCGAATGAGCAAGGAGATCACAGCCCTCGCACCAAGCAGCGTGAAAATTAAGGTGGTAGCACCTCCAGAGAGAAAGTATAGTGTTTGGATTGGAGGATCCATATTAGCTTCACTGAGCACATTCCAGCAGGTATGGGTTATACACTTATACTGCTTGTCCTACGCTGATAGCTTATATTTGATTTCACTTCGTATTACTGATCATAGAAGAGATATGAGTATTGATTATTGAATTCTTATTTACTATGGAAAATCTCAAGAGTTTATGTTCAAATAACTTAAAACAGTGAAATCACCTCGTGATATTCTTGAGGAGCAAACTTATAAGTGAGAGAAATAAAAATTGGTTGTGATTTTATAAGGGCTGGATTGGTATTGCTGTTCTTTGAAAAAAAGTTGTTGTGAGAATAAGCTGCTGTGCTGTGAGAATAAGTGGCTGTGAAATAAATCAGCAAAGTGTTTGGTAAACTTTTTTGTAAAAGTGCTTTTGGAAAAAAAAAAAGCAGTCTGATAGTGGGTCTTTTCATTAAAGGAGCACTGTAGCTCCATGTGCTTTGAAAAAAAAACCAGTTTTCCAAAGCTGCAAATAGCAGCTTCAACTTTTTCCTTTGATTTCAGCTTATTTTCACAGCAACTTCCAAAATAAGCCTTTTTTTTAGTTTACCAAACACCTAAAACCCTCACAGCTTTTTTTCATGGATGTTTTTTTTTTAAGCACCTTACTCCCAAACCATCTCTATAAGTATGGTATCAGCATATAAGTTGCAGATTTCTAAAACCGATACAAAAGTTTAGTACCTTTCTGATTGTGTATATATAATATATGTTCACTACTGAAAGTCGTTCTTCGAGTACAATTTATTTGTTTAGGAAGTACGGTTCTGTGATTATGATCTCGGTGTCTCGTTTTTCTTGAATGCAGATGTGGATTTCTAAGTCTGAGTATGACGAATCAGGCCCGTCCATCGTCCACAGGAAGTGCTTCTAGACATACGATCATATCGTCATCTTCCCCCCCCCCCCCGCCCCCCCCCCCCCCCCCCCTCCTTGGATTTGTGTGGTTTCGGATTGTCAGATAGCGTTTATTGTGTGAGCTTGGGGTCCGTCATCTCTTTTGTCATCGCTTTTAGATTGCGTCACATATGATATAGTAAGAACGGTAGTTCTTAAGTCGGATCGGTATATGCAGTTGTGCTGTTTTGTACACATTGTTTATGTGGTTTTAAAGTTTGTTGAAATAGAATATTAGATACTAATTAAATAATTAATGATGTTGTTTTGGATTATTAATTTACATTATTATCTTCCTTTGTTGTTGGGAAATGAGGAAGTTGCTGGGGGAGGGGCAACAAAACTGCAAGAGTTGGCTGCATAAATTGCGTTTTGTTCTCCCCTAGCATTTGCATTGTCACGGCATAACCACCGTGGCCTGCGTCCCCTAGCACTTGTATTGTGCTCACTAAGGCGGTCCCAAAAGTTCGGATTTCAGAAACGACGTTGCAAGTCCGTTTGTGTGTGTACATTTTCCCCCTCTATCGACGGAGGAGGGGGATTACGCGCTTGGGACCTTCCTCGGAATCCAAGTGCGTTCCGGAAAAGCGACATTTTCGGTTAGAAACGGCTGGAAGGAGAAACGTTATCAATCGATCTGATAAGTTATACAGTCACATACTCCGGACTTCTCATATTTTGCATCAGCACTCAGCAGTCGGCCAGTGTCCTAAAGGCCAGAGGCATTTTCGGTACACCCGTAAAAATTTGGACGGTTATTTCTACAGATGCAGGCTAAGGGGTAGAAAAAACGCAAGGGTTTCCATATATGCTGGTTTTAATTGATGTATTACTTTATTTGCTGGCTGTTTTATGGGAATTGATTTTCGCGTTCTCATTTCTTTCTTGTGCATTTCTCTCTTTTTATTTTTGGGCTTGGATTGTCGCCTCGCCTATCAAAAGAGAATCAAACGTCAACAAGTAGTCAGCAGAGTGCAGAAGGTAAAAAACGAGAGTGATTTCCGATCTAGCTAAGATGGTAATTAAGGAATCAGGCTTGGTAACTTTTGCCTAATACCAGATTAAATTAAGTGTACGGCACCATTTAAAAAAAACTGGATAAAAACTTCAACTCTTGAACTAGTTGCATTTTCCATACATGTATACATTGGCCAAACTCAGTAAGAACAAAGCCGCTACGGGCCGCTTTCCGGCATAGGATTTTGTTCGGAACTATGCTCCCTGGCGGGTTGCGGAGGTGGTGGTGACTGAGACGGAGACTGAGGAAGGCACGTGCGTCGGCACGTGGGACAAGAGGAGTGAGAAGACAACCATTCCTGAATACACTGAGCATGAAAACCATGTTTACACCTGCCTATCACTCTAATCCCTTCCCCCTCCACAAACTCCGACAAGCAAATGGCGCACTCCGCCTCCACCCCTGCCAGCTTCGCCTTCATCTCTGCCGTGTAAATCACCGCCGGAGCCGCCTCTAAGCACTTAGCCGCTGCCACATTGCTCTTCTGCTGAACATCAACCAACGCCTGTTGTCTCTGAGGAGCACTGTTGTTCTGACGATCGGAAGGGTTGGTGCTGCCACCGCGGACGAAGCAGCGGATGGCGGCATTAAGACCCAACGCGCAAATGAGAGCGCAAAGGAGGACGATGATGATCATGGCGGCGTTGGCCTCGAATTCTTTTGAGCCGGAGTAAGGCCACCAGCGGCAGGCGTGGGAGCCGCATGTCGTTGGCCCTGCTGGAGGTGAAGGAAGTGGCGGAGAAAGGTGGATGAGGTTAACATCAGCTACTTCCACAGCTGACAGCCCCACTGTTGGCGGTGGTCTCATTTATGTATGCTCTTTTAATTAGTAATTCTCTGCTGCTGCTGATGATCTCTCAGCTCTTTTCTGAAGTTTGCAGAAAGGTAGAATGTTTTATATTCTGGCTTTTTAGTTTTCTAGAGAGAGAGAGAGAGATTGCGTGAGAGTGGAGATTAGGAAGATTTATAGGTGTTAGGGCAGGGAAGGGAAGCAAGAAATGCATACGTGTAATTTGGGTTTCACATTAGAGGAATGGTTGCAGACCAAATTTTTACACCGTATTTGCAAATTATATGATGTATCATAAATAAAAAATAAGTATATTAATTAATATTTAGTAATAATTTAATTATCAACAATAACAAGCCATTTAGTACTACGTTTTAGTGGTATTGCTCTTTACTTCTAAGTATGAATTTTTAGGTTCAATTCTCGTCAAAAGTAAATTTGAATCATATTATTATAAGTCGTTCATTGTGAGGTTTAGTTCACTCATCCATTCTAAATAACATCGTTTGTTAAAAAAATTCCATATTATTATATAATTTATAAAATATAATTAAATTAATCGTCTCGCTGGCATTATCTTTTACGTTATTATATTTGGCCTGGGTGAGAAATATTTGTCATTATTTGGAATACTTGACATGTGTGGGGTACTGAGAATCACTACCTATCTTCTTCTGGGAGCTTCCACACTCTATTAACCTACACAAATTAGTTAAGAAACAAAAACAAGGTGGAAATGGAATAAACTGTAAATTCGTATTGGATGAGAGAATTCGAACTCGAATACAAAAAGGTTGCTAGACTAATTTGATCAATCGACGTAACTTATAAGATGTATATTCTTACATTTTAGCTTCGACCTTTTCACAAACACAAAAATCTTAATTTGAGTTAATAAGCTTAAGAGATTTCACATATTCAACATACTATTTTTCAAGCTTTATAGCCAATGAAGATATATTTTTTTCTTCAACAGTGCGTGACACTGAATGATGTGGTTGTGGAAATTACATTTAACAGCTAAAACAACCATAGCAGTGAGTGTTACGTAGCATTGAAGTCATACCCGTTGTAACTTTTAATATACTTAGTGTGTTTATCTTTACTTGGTTGTTGACATATTACTTGTGAGAATATTACACAAATTAAGCTAACAATATGCTTTGTGTTACATAATTCTTTAATTTAATTACACTTTGCGACTGGTTAGAAGGAAAGGAATGATTCTTTTTCCAAATACATGGAATTGGTCAATTCTTAGTTCCCACGCATTTTTGGTTTACTTACAACCTTGCGGATAGCTGACGCGCGAGTAACATGAGTTCCATCTGAAAATTACAACACCATGAAAAATTAAGAAAAATGAGAAATTGGTGGGAGCTGAATTTATTATCTAGCTTTTAAATGTGGTTTGAAGTGTTGAAGAAGGCTTTTTATTCAAACTGGTTTCTAAGATTAACATAATTCTTTATTTTGGTTTTGAGATTTAAAATCGATAGAAGTGGTTCCAAAGTTTGTTCATTGTTAATTATTTTTGTCTTTACGTGAAAAATCTTTGTTAAATAAGGACTAAAATGATAAAAATATCCTCAATTTTTGTCAAATCATTTTGCCCATTGTTGATTAAATTCAGAGTATTTTTGTCATTTTGTTCCTTATTTAACAGAGATTTTTTACGGAATAACCAAAATAATTGACAGTGAACAAACTCAAAGACCACTTCTATCGATTTCAAAACTCAAGGACCAAAGTGATGAGTTACGTCAATCTCAAAGACCATTTTAACTAAAAAACCTCTTGAAGATGAACAATATATTTTTGAAATAAGGATTGATGGGGGTTTGTAATTACTATTATTGATTCAAGTGAATATTCTAAATTTCTAATCTAATTTGCACTACCAAAAAGAGAATTCAAACTTGAGTACAAAAGTAAAAACACTCATTTAGGTTTAGCTAACTTAACTACACTCAAATATATGTTTAGAATTCGATCCCTTATTGTGGAAGGGGAGAATTTGATCTTTGATTGAATAAAATGTTTGATCTTGTATAAAGAAAAGGGGTCGAATTCTACACACATTCCTTTTTTACGTTTGGATTAAATAAATCAGAGAATAATTAGAACAGGGAAATAAAGAGAGGTTGTAGGGAGAAATGATATACAAAAATACTTCCATCTTTTAATGTTTAGCTATATAATATGGCGAGAATATTTTTTGCTCAACATTTAAGTGATTATAATGCTCATCATTCGATTGATTACATTTAAATGGGTTTAAATTCTGAGATATGTGTAGTGAATATGCATAAATCTTAAAATTTTAAACCCATCCAATATACTAAGTAAGGCAATGAGTACTATCACCACTTAAGAGTCGTCAGCAAAAATACAGCCACTCATATGACCTACAAAAATCATAAATGGAGGTGACCTTTTGCAAACTATTCCTATTTCTGTGTAATATTGGGTGAACTTAGACAACGGTTTTAACTTTATAATAAAGCATGAGAATTAGATGTGATGCCCTTATACTACAAATAGACGACATTTTCAAAAGTGAAAAAATCTTTTGGACTTTAATTAGTTTTTAGAAACGCCATTGCAAATAGGGTGCTGCTATTCCACACACTAATTTTTATCTCGCACATTCTTCTTAGTTTTTAGCTGATGGACTCTATTTGATTGAAGAAAATTAATAGACAAAATTAATAAAAGTGTCGGAAGGTGAAATGAGTGTGTAAATTCTTACAAATAGGGGGTTTATAGTTGATCGAAATGTCAGGGAGACTAAATTTATAGACAAAATTTGCAAACTAAATAATGTCTCACCAATAGAAATAAGCACGTTTATCAACGCTTAACTAATAATCCAATTATCAACTTTTATGTTATTTAATTTACAAATTTAATCTCCTTAACATACCCTTCTTAAAATGTGAAAAAAAAGAGAGGTTAACTTCAAGTGGATATACTTGAGGGAAATAGCGGTGTTGGAGTTGTGAGTGGAGCGAGAGAGTAAGGAGGTGTAGTCAATTTGGATTTCAGAGAATTTTAATAGACTTTTTTTTAAGTGACAGATTTCAAAGGATTTTAATGTACTTACAATTCTATATGGATTTTGACAGATTTATATGGATTTATATTATAGATTATTATGGATTTGTATGGATTTTATTTGTAGATTTTGATGGATTTGCATAGTCTTTTCTTTTCTTTTATCTTTATTAGATTGTTTTTATTTTTTTTTCAAATAAGAAAAGAAAAACCATTTTCTCCCTCCGTGCCCTAAAACATGATTCTGCAGCTGCTTCATTTTCAAGCCGGCCTGTCAACCCAATTCAAACTTTTTAATTGTCTTGTCCATTTTTTGTCTTCCTGAAGAATTATTGTTTTTTATTCAAATTCAATTCGGAGCATCGACGAGTGATTCAATTGAATTTTCAGGTGCAAATCAAATTCTTCTTCTTTGGGTTT